AGATACAACGTTGTTAATGATTATATTCTAATATTTTTAAGATTTTTTATTTTTATTTTATCGATTTTCATAAATTTTGTTTTTGAATAAATTACAATTTAAGATTATACAATAAATAAAAGATAAATTTTAAATTTTGTTGAAATTTTTGAATTGTTAGAAATTGATATTTATAATTTTTATTAATTTATTTAATGTATATGAATAAACATGCAAAGATATTTAGAAAATAAATGTTTTTTTATATATATTTTTTATTTTATATTTATATTATATTATAGTAATGTTAGTATATGTTCGTTAATTGTTTTGTTATATATGTATAAAAATTACAAAACATACATTAATAATAATATATACATATTTTCATTTCAGCTTTGCACGCAACCTGTAAGAATAGAAGAAGTACAAGGTAATCACAAGACAATATTGTTGGGAGAAAGTGCTAAGAAAATCGCGAGTTTCTTGCAAGTATAGCTTATGAAATGTACAACATTCGTGTTTTAATTTTTACATTATATTCGAGGATAAACGTAGCATAACACATGGTGTTGCCGATAGAACTAATATTTTTTATAGCATAGAAAATTGCAGAAATATTGTACATGTGTATCTTATTTTAGAATTTGCAATATTGCAAATATAATACTATATTACTGCAATGTAACTCTATGCCATATTGATATAACAAATAACAATTTGTGTAGATTCTTTTTTGTGTATATGTCATACATTAAGACTAAAACCAATTATGTACAATTGAATCATATGAAATGAAAAACAAGCAAAACAACACAAAACTATATCCTCTTAAAATAATATACTATATACCTATATACTATCATTCATATAAATTAAAATACGTGGTTTAATTGTATTAATTGTAGGATTATGTAAGAATGTTTGATTCCAAAGATGGACGAATTAAATATACATTAGCAAGTTCGTATTAATAATAAACACATCGCTTATTTATATGTAAATTAATAATTATTACTCTGTATATTAAAAATTATTTTGCACTGCATTATTTTCTCTTTTCCTTTAATTATACTATGGTTTTAAGACCTGATCTCGTTATCTTTAGCTTATATAATGTAATTTTCTGATATCATATGTCATGATAAAGTTGTAATAGCTGTATTAAAATATATAATTGATGACTCTTAATTATTAATTTTTTATTATTAAAATATAATTCTTGATATTACTTCAAGTATCATAGAGCTTTTTCCTTATGATATATGATATATGA